GAGGGCATGTGCTCCAGGGGTGGGCAGAGCTGCACTTTGGTGCCTGCCGAGGCAGATGGGAAGGGCTTCGAGTGGAAAACCAAGGAGTTGGTATTTTATCCTTGAAGCAACAGGGACCCAGGGCAGGGGCCTGAGCAGCCCCTGGTCAGGACGGCCCTACAGGAAAACCTCTGTGGTAGCTGAGAGGAGGATGGAGCGGAGCAGAGAGAGGCTGCAGGCAGGAGACACAAGTAGAAACATGACACAGTCATCCAGGTGGGAGGTGATAGACAAGGACACCCCTGAACAGGGGTGGTGGCTACAATGGACCGAGGCAAGAGTCGGGAACAGGCTGGATCTGCGACTCCGGGGCTACGAGCCGGTGGCCTCCTGCTCCGGCCTTTGGCCAAGTCTTTCCATGACACGCCACATAGACAGGAGACGTAACAGAGGGCCGGAAATGACAGAATCCTAGAATCTGAGGGAGCTCACAGGGCTCCAGTGTAAACTGGATCTGAACAAAAATCCCATGGATGGCATCCTGACTGGCGATCAGTCAGACCCTCCTTGAAAACCTCCAGAGACAGAGAACTCATCGCCAATCCTTAGGAAGAAGGCCTGGTGTGACTCCTGCAATGATTCGGCCCACTTTTCATTTACTCAAACTCTTATTACATACCGACCATGTACCTCTAATAGTCTCTGATCTGTGTTCTAAGGCTCCTCCAGCTCTGACCTTCCCTGTTCTAAAGCCTCTCTCTTCCCTGGCATTTCATGTTCTAAGGTTCTTCCCAGCTCTGACATTCTACGTCCTCTCTTCTAAGGTCTTTCTCCCCTCTGCCTCAGCTCTGACACTGGGTCAGGGGGCTGCACTCAGTGCCTTCTGAGCTGCCCTTCCAGCGCTAGGAGCCCAGAAGCCCCAAGCCCTGCTAACCATTTTACTGCTAAACTAGAGATGACAGAAACAGCCCTAGCTAAGACAACAACAATAGCTGACGTTTCTACAGTGCTTACTTACAGAGCACTTTATAATTACGAATCTCATTTGATGGCAGAAGGAGAAAGCCTTCCACAGAATTCCTGGCTGCGCTTTCCTCCCTGGGCCTGGGGGCAAGTGCCTTGTACTCCTCTAGGACTGGAGGGATGCTGCCTCGGAGCTCTCCAAGGTCCTCGAGCCAAGGCTGACAGCCATTCCCCCACTGTCTGCTCTGCTCCTCGGGATGCTCCTACCTGCACACTGCTTCATTCCCTGCTCCTGGAGCCGCCCCCTTCTCTGCCTTCACAGCCCCTGCCCCTGGGCAGACAGGGCACCCCCAGGTCCAGGGGCAGCAGCGTCTGCTTAGGGCCGGGCTGGTACTGGGGGCCAGCCAGGCCGCCCTCCCAGGCTCTTGGCCTCTCCTTTGCCATTATCCGCACAAGTCCACCTAGCAGGCAGGATTTTGTGCTGTGGTGACAGCAGCAGGGCCCAGACAAGGTCTCAGTCTCTAGTGTGCCCCTCTTCTTCTCATGTTCTCCAATTCCCCTGAGCTGTCTCCACGTCTCATTCCAGTCCAAGATTCAGCATGAGAGAATAAATCGGAGTGCGTCTCCACTCCAGATTGCTCTCCCTCTCATCTGCCTGCCCAGTGCTATCTGAAGGCTTGGTTTTCAGCAGGGCCTCTTGTTTCTAATGCACACACACACACACACACACACACACACACACACACACACACACACACACAGAGCCTCTGCTGGGCAGGACTGCATGGGGACCCTGGCATCAGCTCCTTTCACAGGACTGGGGAGCAGAGTCCATCTTGATCTGTCAGGCTCTCTATCTCTGTCTCTCTCTCCTTCCTTCCCTTCCTCCTTCCTCTCTCCCTTTCTCTCTACCTCCTTCTCTTCCTCTCTCCCTTTCTCTCTCTCTCTACCTCTTTCCTCTCCCTTTCTCTCTCTCTACCTCCTCTTCCTCTCTCCCTTTCTCTCTCTCTCTACCTCCTCTTCCTCTCTCCCTTTCTCTCTCTCTCTACCTCCTTCCTCTCCCTTTCTCTCTCTCTACCTCCTCTTCCTCTCTCCCTTTCTCTCTCTCTCTCTCTACCTCCTTCTCTTCCTCTCTCCCTTTCTCTCTCTACCTCCTTCCTCACTCCTTTTCTCTCTCTCTCTCTCTCTCTACCTCCTTCCTCTCACCCTTTCTCTCTGTCTCTACCTCCTCTTCCTCTCTCCCTTTCTCTCTCTCTCTACTTCCTTGTCTTCCTCTCTCCCTCCCTTCCTCTGGCCTGCCTTGATCTTCCACTCCTCCTTCTTCTAGAGGCAGTCATCCTGGACGCAGAAAGAGGCCTCCCACCACACCTCGCCCGAAGGTGTCCACCTGGGTAGCAGTTTGCTGCAGCCGAGAAGATCTTGATTTAAAGTCGGTTTAAGTCCCTGACACGTAGAAGCTGTAGGGCCATGAACGAGTCGTTGACCTTGCCTGTCTCTGTTTCATTGTCTATGGAACAAGGGTGTTGGACCCTGCAGGGCTGGCTCCTGTGCCCTCCCTTGGTCCCAAATCTAGCACCCTCCCCACTGCACCAGCCTGCCTGGCAGACCCATTTGTCCACACCTTCCATGACAGAGTTCTGAATAATGAAACTTGAGATTCAGCTTGATGACCAGAAACAAATAAAGGCCAACCAAACCCTCCCACTTAGATCGTGTTCTAAGCAGAAAAAGGCAATTTTCTTATATTGGCCCAGAGAGAACCATATTATCATCCCCATTTTACAGATGAGCAAGTTGAGTCTCAGAGAAGGCCAGTGACTTGTTCAAAGTGATACAGCAAGTCAGTGGCAGAGCTGGGATTCCAGACCTCTTGATTACCAGGGTGGTACAAGCTGCCTAATGCTTGTCTCCAGAATCAACAATATCCAGCAGACTGTACGTACTTACTTGAGAAGTAAAACAAGTTCAGGCCTTTCCAAGTATTTTTGGCAAGGGCTGAACCTTTCCCTCAGTCATACCGGCAAAGCATTAGAGAAACAGCCCATCTACCTCTTCCCTGAGCCCTGGGATAGCTGAAGCTTCCCTCAGAGCCTGCCGGAGGGTTCTAGAAGCAGTGCTAAGCAAACCTAGGGTATTGAGGGCCCCCCAGAGGCAGTGAGGGCCCCCCAAGGCAATGAGGGCCCCCCAGAGGTGGTGAGGACCTCCCGGAGGTGGTGAGGGCCCTCCCAAGGCAGTGAGAGCCCCCCAAGGTGGTGAAGGCCCCCCAGAAGGCAGTAAAGGACCCTCAAAGGCTGCACAAACCCCAATTAGGCCAGGAAAGAAAGGCTACATGACATTGGATCCTGAATATTAAACATTAAAAAAAGCCTCAGAGAGAATCCCTTCAACATAGCCTTTCCTGTTGATGCACACGAAGCTCCACTCACCACATCCTCTCTGTCCACGTCAGCCTCAGTGGTCTTCAAATCCCACGCTCCCAGGGACAGCTCAGTCTTTTAAACATTAAACTAAGGCAAACTGGCTGGAAATAGCCATACCTGGGGGCCAGTCACCACAAGCTGATTGAGTAATAGCTGCTTGGAAGGACAAAGGCCGGACCCAGGCAGCGGGGTGGGCACAGCCTGCCGGGGGCCCTGACCTCCAACATCAAAGGTGCTCTCGGCAGGCCCATTCCAGAGTCAGGTACCACAATAGAATCAAAGAACAGGATGGGGCCACCTCCTGGCCTGCCTGGCCCAACCAGACTAACAGGTTGGTGGCCAGCCAGAAGGATGGCTCCAAATCCTCTTTCCACATGCATGCTGGGCCTTAGCTTGGCAACCAGAATTTGGGGAAGGGAGAGGGAGCTGCCTGGCTGACCAGGAGGCACAGGAGTCTGCAGATGAGCACCAGAATCTCCAAATACCCAAAGGAAATGGAAATTCCCTCAAGTTGGGCCAAACATCAGGGTGGGACAACCCCCCACTCCAAGCCAGTGTCAGCGCCTATCCATTCAAGAAGGGAGGGCGGTGATGGCTTTGGCCCCCCTATCCACACCACTTCCCACTCACGGGTGGCTGCCCTAGTTCACGCCTTCACCCTCTTTCTCCTGAGCTTCTGTACCAGGCTCCTCAGTCATCCCTCCCCTCTCCAGACCATCATCCGCACAGCTGCCACAGATGTGCCCACATGGCTCCCCTGCTCACAAGTCTTTTGTGGCTTTCTACCACGCATAGGATGAAAGACAAGCTTCTTCAGCCTGGTACTGAAGGTCTGCCACAGTCTTGTTCTAAGCCACCCTCTGATCCAGGTGCCGCCCTCCTGGACTACCCTCCTCTCTTATCTCCAGCTATGGAAATGTTGAGAGCGCCCCACCTGGGGGAGACCTTCCCTCATTCACCGTTCCACAGTACTTGGTCTAGCTCTGACCTTCCTTTAAGCACATGCCATGGCCTCACTATTAGACTGTAAGCCCCTTGGGGCGAGGGCTGGCTTGGCGTTCATGGGGGCAGCCCAGCCCCCTACACTGATCAGCCAGCCCAGGCACATGTTAGGCATTCAGTAAAGGCTTATTTGTTCCTCTTGTGACACCTTTACTTCAGTGACACACATGGAGAAAAGTGAAGGCAGGGTGTCTGGCCTCGAGCTATCAGGCTATCACCATGCCCCAGCAGGGGGGAACGGCCCCCCCCCCACTCCTAGAGCACTGGCAAAGGCTCACAGAGCCCTGTCCTCCCAACAGCTCTGGAAGCCCCACTTCACAAAGAAGGAAACTGAGGCTGGGAAGGGGGACACAGCGGGCAATCGTCCCAGTCTGTGGCCTTGGGTAGGGGAGGGTACACTCTTTTCATTCGGATAGGGATCTTGTTAAATATGAAATAACAGAGGGGATTCGGGCGGCTCCAACAAGCGTGTACTGAGTGCCGACTACATACATGCGGTTGGGAGCTAGGTGCTGAGGACACCACAGACAAAAATAAACGTGTGAACAAGCAGCTCGCGCTCTGCTGCGAGGGGGGGCATGTGTACAAAGAAATTAGGAGGAAGTGGGAGAACAGCTCACCAATGAGCATCCCAGAGTTCATTCGACACTTTTAGAAAACGGTAAGTCCACTCTGGGCAGAGCCAGGAGGCCCTGGGGCGGGGGAGGAAAAAGGGGAAGAGCCTGTGGATACAAGAGGAGGACCATTTCTCTTTGTATCTATTTTCTATTTGGTTCTCCGGGAGAACCAAAGCTCCTTGGGGGCAGGGGAGGAGGAGGGTTTCAATTCTGCCTTTTTTACCTTCAGCCCCAGGCACATAGTAGGGCCCCAAAATGCTTGTTGATCGATTTAGGATTAAAAATTGCAAAAGCAAGCTTATTTAAAAAAAAAAAGCAAGCTTATTCTGGCAGCCATGTGAAGGACAGACTATAAGCCAGACCTGTGAGGAGTGCCCAGGCTAGGTGGGTGGCAGAGGGCTGGTAGGAGGGTGGGAGCTGCAGGAAGAAAGAGGAGGAGACAGATGGGAAAAATGTTTCAGAGGTGTGATGGCAGGCCGTGGTGACTCATTAGATATGACAGGTGAGATCTCATTAGATATGAGAGCTGAGCCAAAGGTTTCCAACAGGGGGACTGAAGGAAGGTGGAAACAGTGACTGTGGAGGGGAGCCAGGCATGGGCAGGGGGAGGGGGCCGGGCAGAGGGTATGGGAGGGGAGCCAGGCATGGGCAGGGGGAGGGGGGCCAGGCAGGGGAAGGGGGAGGGGGCCAGGCATGGGCAGGGGGTAGGGGAGGAGACCCAGGCAGGGGCAGGGGGAGGGGGCCAGGCAGGGGCAGGGGGTAGGTGATAAGGAGGTCGGTTTGGGACATGCTGAGGGACTGGAGCAGGTGACCCCTGCACTCGCTGCCCCAGGGACCGAGCAGATGAATGGTGTAAACAACCTTTTAATAAGAAGGTCTCCTGATTTCAGCCTACAAGCTGTTTTCTTGGCACTTCAGACACAATGAAGAAAAACAATCACTGGGGTTTTGATGTTGCTGCTGTCACATGATGTTTTGTTTTAAATTAAGAAACAACCCCTCAATCAAGATAGCACGAGTCTCCATGTTAATATCCAATTCCACCTGAGACTCGGGCCTCTCTTCCTCAGTTCTGTGCCCAGGGGACTCCATCAGCATAGAACTGTTTGAAGGGCGGTTTACCAGAGATTCCATTCAACCAGCAAGTCCTAAACACCCACAAGCCACTGTCTGATACCAGAAAAAGAATGTGCTTTGGCGGCAGATCCCGAGTTCCAATCCCAGCTCTACTACTTATAACCTGTATGACTTTGTTTTGTTTTTTGGCTAGGCAATGGGGTTAAGTGACTTGCTCAGGGTCACACAGCTAGTAAGTACTATGTGTCTGAGGCCGGATTTGAATGCAGGTCCTCCTGACTCCAGGGTGGGTGCTCTACCCACTGTGCCACCTCACTGCTCCACCTGTATGACTTTGGATAAGTCATTTGCCCTCCCTTGACCTTAAAGTCATGGGATGGAATCAGGAAAGTTTCCCTCCCTTCTCTAGTGAGTGAAGAAACAGTAAGAGCAAAGAGATGAGTGGGTAGCTAGTTGCTGGACCACTTCCCATGCTGACCAAGTTATAAGATCATAGAGTTTAGAGATGGAGGGGCCTTCAGAGGTGATCTGGTCTAACCACCTCATTTTACAGGTGACAGAAATAAGGCTGGGGACTAGGGGGGCGGAGGAACCACATACAGCTAATAAGTAACAGCTGTGATTTGAACCCAGGTGCCAGACTCCACAGCACACATTTACAGAGCACCTGGAAGCCTGCAAAGTGTTTTACATGAATCGTCTCATTTGATGGGTCGAGGACAAGGGGGGAACATGTCTGCATACAAGCAAAGAGAAAGCTGTGCAAAGTCCAGGTGAGATAACTGAGGAGAGGTGATGCTTGGGGTGGAAGTGAGAAGAGACGGCATTCCTGGCAGGGGGCAGCTTGGGCAAAGACATGGAAGCAGGAGATGAAGCGTCAGGAACAACAAATAGGTCGGTTTGGCTCGTCAGGTGGTGTGTGAAGGAGGATAATCAGCACAGTTAAGACTGGACAGGTAAGCTGTCACCAGACTGTGGAGGGCGGGCATTAGTAGGTAGGTTTAGAGGCACTGGCCAGCTAGAGGCTTCTGAGGCAGGGAGCTGTGCTTGGGAATGACCATCAGGCAGCTGGGTGCGGCGCCGACCGGAGCACGGAGGGAGACGAGTGCCCGGTCAGTCTAATTCTGTTTGTGCGGTCTTTTTGCTACCAAGCGCCATTCTAACAGCAAATCATCCTTCATTCTTAATCCAGACACGTCCAAAAGACATCTCTAGGGCAGACGTTGGCAGGGCCTTCCAGCCCACAACCAGTGCATGCTGTCAGGGCAGTTACTGGAAAGTTTAAAAATGTCCTTTCTTCAGCACCACCCTCTGGGGCAGATTCGTCACGGATTCAGAATCTGGCCTTCTGCCTGGTAAGAATCACAGATATTTCCTTGCCTACACAGAGAAATGTGTCCAGCTGCACTACGCACTGAGTCACCAATGGCTGACGCATGGAGAGGGCTTGAAAGAGGACTGTGTACTGCCCACGTGGTGTCCCTCTTACTACATGCTCATCACCCTGACAGAGAAGGAAGGACGAATGGGCACAGCATGAGCTCCATTGTAGAGATGAGAAAACTGAGGCCCAAGGTGGGAAGAAACAGGATTCTTGACTCCAAGACCAGTGTTCTTTCCACTACACTCTTTATTTGGGTGTTAAGGAGCCAACTGTATCTTCAGTAGATCCCAAGACAATTATCTGCCAGTAAAAAGTTGGCAAACAACCTAGCTAATGCAGAGGTTAACCTGGGGTCATATAGAAGTGTTCCCTCCCAGCTCTGACATTCCCTATTCATCACTGACAACCTGTTTTTTTAAAGTCCCTCCCATTCTTCTATGTTGTAAGACACCCCCCTGCCCTCAACTCTGACATTCCCCGTTCGGTCAGTCAATAAACATTTATTAAGTGCCTTGGATGTTCCAGGCACTGTGCTAGGCACTAGGGATACAAAGAAGCAAAAGACAGTCCCTGCCCTCAAGAAGCTCACTATCTAATGGGAAAGATAACAAGCAAACAAAAATGTACAAACAAGCAGGATAAACCAGAAATAATTAACAGAGGGATGGCACTAGAATTAAGGGGGATTGGGGAAGGCTTCCTCTAGTGTAGAGGACGGCATTTTAGTTGGGACTTGAAGAAAGCCAAACAAGTCAGGAGGCAGGATGAAGCAGGAGAGTATTCCAGGCATGGGGAATGGCCAGAGAAAGTGCCCAGAGCCGGCAGATGGAGGGTCTTGTTGGTAGAACAGCCAGGAGGTGGGGTCATGGGATTGAAGAGTATATGGCAGGATGAGGTGTAAGAAGACGGGAAAGGCAGAAGGCGGCAGGTTATAAAAGGCTTTGAAAGCTCAACATTTGATCCTGAAGGTGATAGGGAGCCACTGCAGTTTACTGAAGGGTGTCTGTGACACGAATAGACTTACAATTTAGGAAAATCACTGGTGACTGAATGGAGGATGGACTGGAGTGGGGAGAGACTTGAGGCAGGCAGACCATGCCCCCCCCAGCTACTGCAGCGGTCTAGGTGATGAGAGTTTGCACCAGGGTGGGGGTTAGGGGAAAGACAGGGGGATAAAGGGGAAATACTGCAGAGGTGAAACTGTCAAGAGATGCTCCAGAGGTGAAACAAGAAATTGGCAAGAGATGCTCCAGAGGAGAAACCGACAAGAGATGCTCCAGAGGTGAAACAAGAAATCAGCAAGAGATGCTCCAGAGGAGAAACCGACAAGAGATGCTCCAGAGGTGAAACAAGAAATCAGCAAGAGATGCTCCAGAGGAGAAACCGACAAGAGATGCTCCAGAGGTGAAACAAGAAATCAGCAAGAGATGCTCCAGAGGAGAAACCGACAAGAGATGCTCCAGAGGTGAAACTGACAGGCTTTGGCAACAGCATGGATTTGGGGGAGAGGGTGGAGTTGCGAGATAGTGCGGAGTCCAGGATGACTCCTAGAGTGGGAGCCTGAGGGACTGGGAGGATGGCAGTGCCCTCTACAATTACAGAGAAAGTAGGAAGGTTTAGGGGAAAAGAGAGTGAGTTCAGTTTGGAACATGTTGAGTTTAAGATGTCTACTTGACCTCAGCAGCTAGGTGACAAAGTCGACAGAGTCAGAAGAACCTGAATTCTAATCCTGCCTCAGACACTTCCTAGCTATGACAAGTCACTTCACCCTGTTTGCCTCAGTTTCCTCATCTGTAAAATGAGCTGGAGAAGGAAATGGCAAACCACTCTAGTACCTCTGCCAAGAAAACCCCAAATGGGGTCGCGGAGAGTTGGACACGACTCATCAAGTAAACAACAACTGGACATCCAGTTCAAGATATGTGAGAGGCAGTTGGAGATGCAAGACTGAAGGTCAGCACATTTGAGAACTGTCAGCATAGAGATGATAATTAAATCACGGAAGCTGACGAGATCACCCAGTGGGAGAAGAGTAGAGAGGAGCTAGAGCCCTGAGGACACCTCTGGTTAGAGGGTGTGACCTGGAGGAGCCATCTGAGAGGTAGGAGGAGAACCAGGAGAGGGACGTCCTGAAACCCTACTGAGAAGCAAGTACAACAAGAAGGGGATGACCGACCCGTGTCGAAGGCTGCAGAGATGTCAAGGAGAATGAGGACTGAGAAAAGACCGTTAGATCTGGCAACGAAGAGGTCACGGGTCACTCCGCAGAGCGCAGCTTTGGTGGAATGAGAAGGTTGGGAGCAGACTACAAGGGGTCAAGAAGGCAATCTGTCGTTTAGCTGCAAAGGTCAGAAAAAACATAGGACAACAGTTAGTGGGGATGGAGGGGTCAAGGGAGGGCTTTTTGAGGACAGCAGAGACATGGGCACATCTTAGGACAGTGTCTGGCACATAAGAAGCACTTCAATGTTTATTTATTACTGATGTGTGTAGGCAGTAGGGAAAGAGCCAGGAGAGAGGCAAAGATTCAAAATAAGGCAGAGGGGGATGACAGAGAGAGATGGGATAGGATGGGCCCTCTCAGCTCTGCCAATCCCAGTACGAGGCCCCTCCACATGAGACATTCACTTCTCTAAACACGCCACCACAGCACACTAGGAAGAGCCCAGCCGAGCTGGGTCGTCTGCTCCAAGCCCCTCCTCCAGAGGAGGCACCGAAGTCGGGAAATGGAGTCGTCTAAGGTTACACAGATAGGAAACAGCAAAGCCAGGACTCACCCCACCCCCTCTGCATCCAAACCGAAAGCTCTCTGATCCTCTGCCTCATGCTGTTTCCCCTCCTCCTCCTGTCTGTCTGTCTCTCCCCTTCCCTCCCCCTCTCTGCACCCCCATATATGTTCCCTTGGCCAGATGAGATCAGCCTCTTAAGCCTGGTATCCCCAAATCTGAGCTTCAAGTAACCTCAGAGGTACCTAGTCCAACCCACACCTGAGCTGGAGTCCTCTCTAAAACATACCCAATTTAGAGTCATCTACCTTCTCTTTAAAGATCTGAGCTGACAGAGACCTCACTAACTCCTGCCGTGGCTCCCTCTGCTTTTGGACAGTCATAAATAAACTCCTAGGCCAGTACTGCTAAAAGAAGATTCCCTGAGACATTTTAGTCTAGAATTCTAACTCCCTTGGCGAGCCTGGGGTCATCCCCCAAGCTGCCTGGGCCTCAGTTTCCCTCTCTGTAAAATGAAGGAGTTGTACCAAGAGACCTCCAAAGGCCCCACCCACCCTAAAATGCAGAATAAAAGGGTCTGGGTCCCAAATAAGCCTAGCTGCCCCTGGCTTCCAGATCACTCACTGACCACTCTATCACACATCCTGTGCCATGGCCCATGCGGCAGAACCTGGAGGCTCAGCTGTGTGCCCAGGGTGGGGGGCATACCTTGGTTATTCGGGACTTCACAAGACCGATCCGACCTGCTGGCATTAGAATGGGGGGGGCAGAATAAAGGAGGCCTTGGGTGGGACAAAGAAAGGCAAGAAGAGACCCCAGAGTCAGCTCTGCAGACAGAGTGGTGGAGACTTAGCGGACACGAAGGCTGAGTGAAGGAGACGGAGAGAAGAGCAGGTGGGTTTGCATCCTCACCCCAGACATTCCTCCCAGGAATGTTAGTATCAGGGGCTGTGATGAGACTCCCCAGTCTGAGTCTAGCTATCTGAACAGCACATTGCTGAGCGTCCTCAGGCCTCCACCGATGAGGAGTGACAGGCCAAAGGAGCTGGGTCCGTGCCACGGCGCCACGTTCGGGACCCTGCACCAGCCATCTAAGACACAAAGTCGGTCAACCTGAGTCCTGGATACTCAGAGGTGGACAAGACCTCAGAAGCTACCTTGGCAACCCCCCAATCACATGTACTATTGCCAATATTCTAACAGAAGGTCAATCAGCCTCTTCTCAAAGACCTCGAATGACAGGAAGCTCACTACCTCTGCACTAGCCCTTTCCAAGACACCAAGATCTGCCTCTTTGTCAATTCTTCTTCCCAGCACCCTGCCCCCTAAGAACAGAAGAAATCCATCCCCTCTTCCACAAGAGGGTCCCTAGGTCCCTCCTCAGCCCTCAGGCACTTTCAAAAACAGGAAGCTGCAGCATCCATCTTTATTTTATTTTTTAGAGCTTTTAAACTGAATTGCCCATAAATGCTACTCTATTATCACAACAAGTAGAAGTAAAATATCTTTTAAACCTGCCCATTTCCACAGTGTCTTCCACCCAGTAACTCTCTTAGGCAGGTCATGCAACATTACTATTTTCTTTTCACTGGTGAGCAAAAGGAGGCCCAGGAGAATGTAAGCTCTTGGAAGGCAGGGATTGCTTCCTTCTTGGCTTGTAACTCCAGGTCTCTGTAGACATTATCCATGCGTGACTGCTGACCCACATCCCAGCTGTCTGCAATAGAGTAAAGACACCTTGGAGAGCTCCCTGAGATTCCTAAAGATCAGGCCACCTGCCCAAGCTCACACAGCTGGCAAGTGCCAGGAGCAAGCCTTGAACATGGGACTTTGTGACAGAGTGAGTGGCAGGCCCCTGGCTCTAGGCCCAGTGACCTCCCCAGACACCAAAGGAGCCCAGGAGCCAGCCCAGCTAAGCCTCCCTGGGCAGAGAGAGGAAGCTTTGTAGATCCTTGGAGAGAAGTCCCCTCTGGACAGGGGTGTTGTTAGGAGTTAGAAGTATGTCCAGTCCATCCACAAGCATTTATTAAGCCCCTGCTGTGACTCTTATCCTCTAACAGAGAGATGCACATACAGCTTTATGCAAGAAATGATGGGAGGCTACTACAAAGGAGAGACTTGGCAAGGCCTGAGCCTGGCTCGGTGAACAGAACCAAGAAGGTAAGGCCTTTGCCTTTCAGGGCCCCTCCCTGCTCTCCCCCTCCCACCCCATCCCCTCAAGGCCAAGCCTCTTTTCCTCATCTGCTGCTGGGTCTCTGGGCAGGAGATAAGCGGGCAGATCCAGTGACCATCCTCGGCCTTGGCTGCCCTTGGAATCGGATCTGTTGGCTTCAGTATCCCAGCCCAACAGGCCTAGGGCAGGCCAGGACACTGGCCTGGTCTCCAGCAAGGAGCCCACTGAGTCACAGAAGAGAGGCCTCACCTGGAAACACCTTCTGGCCCTGGATGCCTCCTGCAACAGTAGGTGCTTCCCCGAGGTCTGGGGGCACAGCCTAGGAGGCGTGCCAGGGGTCCACTGCCAGCCTCCTAGGAAACAGGAGAATACTCACATGCTCTCAGTGGGGCACGTGTGTGAGAAAGCCCACGGGCTGCGGGGAGGTAACCCAGACAAAGCAGGGCATCAAAGCTCAAAGCCTGGGCCTGATGAAGAGGGCCGAGCCCCAGCTGCACAGGCCAGGCAGCCAGTCTCCCCTCTGTACCTGCAGCTTTCAGCAAGGACCAACAGGTTCCATCTAAGATACAGCAGCTTGCTCTCTCTGCTACCCGGTGTTCTACAGGAGCAATGAATTTAGGGCTGGAGGGGATCTTATAGATAGCATTTTACAGAGAAGGAAACTGAGGCCCAGAAGGGTCAAGTGATTTGTCCAGGGTCACACAGGGATCCTATTCTGTGTACTCCTCATAACTACAGGTAGAGGAGGAATGTCTAACCAAACAAGATTAAATAGTTAATTTTGATTACATGAAATTGGAAAGCTTTTATGCAAACAAAATGAATACATCTGGCATAAGAAGGGGAACATCCTTGTGTCAACTATCTCTGATCAAGATCTGGTCTTCGAGAAACATAAATAACTATGAGAAATACATACGACCAAAGGCCATTCCTCAAGAGATGGGGACAACAAATACGAACAAAGAGTTCTCAGATGGAGGCCAGCCTTGTTACAGAATGCTCCAAGTCACAAAGAGGAGAAATGCACATCTAGGAATGCCTCAGGTTTCACTTTACATCAGAAAACTGGTACCAGTGACAAGAGACAGGAATGGTCAATGTTGGTGGGGCTGGGAAAAGCTAGGCACACTACTGTATCGTCTGGGAAATCATGGATTGGTAAAAACCATTCTGGGAAAATGCAAAGCAAGTAACTAAAATTACATACCCTGTGACCCGAGATCCCACAGCTAGGCAGGTACCCTGGGCAAAAAGAAAGGCTTCCTAGACACCAAAAATATCAATAGCATCACTTTCTGTCACAGCAAAGAACTGGAAATAAAGTAGATGCTCTTTGGTTGGGGAATGGGGTCCATGAATGTAACGGAGTATTCCTGTGCTGTAAGAAATGACCAACAAGATGAATACAGAGAAACACAAAAAGACTGTCATGAACTGATGCAGAGTGAAGTCAGCAGAGCCAGAAAAACAATATCTATTCGATAACAGAAATGGGGGAAGGGCAGGGGGAAGTAATCACCACCACCATAAAACAATCCAAACGTAATGTTGTGAAAATAGATTGACCAAGCTTGGCCCCAAAAAAGAGACGTAAAAAGACAAACCCTGCCGCCCGCCCTCCTCCCCCCCCCCCGAAGTAAGTAGAGGCCAGGGGAATGGAACGTTGCACATAAAGCCAGATGTTTTTAATGTGTTGATTGGTTTTACTGAATTTTTTTTCTCTTCTTCCTCTTAAAAAGTGACTTTCCATAATGGAAGGGAGGGGGAAAGGAATCAGAGAAGTGCAGGCAAGGTGAAAACAAAAGATGGCAATACCAATCCACCAGGAAGCTTTAGCACATGACAGGTCCTCAACAGATGGCAACTGGACAGAACCATGGCAATCTTTACGAACCCCCAATTTGGGCAGTCAGTGTACTTTTAGTGGAAAGAGCCCAGGAGAAGAATTCTGAAGCCTTGGGCAAGTCATTTAGGAGCATGGGTCTCAGTTTCCTCATCTGTAAATTTACCACCTCTAAGGCAGTATCCTCCAGCTTTCCTCCCTAGGAGCTGATGAGTCCTTCCTCTGATTGTTTTAAGTGAGGCTTCAAAAGTCTAGTACCTTCTTCATCTGTAAAATGAGGATAGCAACACTGGACCTCCAGATGTCATTGGGTTGTGAGAAGTGAAAGGCATTGTAGACCTTGAAGCTGTGATGATGACCCTCCATAATAAGAAGTGCTTGCAGAGCTCAGCTAGGCTGAGTTTTAAAAGCCTCAGGAAAGCTCATGAGAATGGGGCATGCACCCCTCCCCCCACGTCTGAAATAGATGCTCTATCGATATCAGTATGAACACTCGCCCTTGGCCCTGGCCCTCCAGGGACCTGCTGGAAACTGGTGTTTCTCCATCGAGCAAATATAGTGCATGGATTAAAATTGATGAGGCCCTCTCTTTCATCCACTTAAAGTCCTGCAAGCAGGCTTTCCATATGCCAGGACAGAGCTGCCTCAAGGCTCTCAGACTTAATGTCTAATTAGGAGAGAGATCCCTTGAACGATCCTTAACAACCCAACAGAAAACCCTGTGGGCAAAAAATAGCACAGGATGAGGAACCTAACCTCCAAAATGACAGAAAGGGAATGCATTGCTGAACGTGCCACAAGCCCTGCATGCCGCCTGCAGCCTCAGTTTCCCCTTCTGTAAAATGAAGGGATGGTTTCTACAGCTGGCCCCAGGTCTAAATCCGAGGATGCCCAATTCTTGATTCCTCAGGGGATGAATTGTTCTGGATCATTGAGGAAGCCAATTTGATTAGGAAGCATGAAAGGCTGGCTGGTTGTTTAATGTGGCAGCTCAGCATAATAGAAAGACGACCAAATGTACCACTCTGTGCCTCAGTTTCCCCAACTGTAAAATGAAGCAGAAGTCTAGATAATCCCCAAAGTCCCTGCCAGCTCAAAAGCTATGGACCTATAAACCACTTAGTCTCTCTGTGCCTCAGTTTCCCCATCTGTAAAATGAAGGAGAAGTCTAGACAATCTCTGAGGTCCCTGCTGGCTCAAAAGCTATGGACCTATAAACCACTTAGTCTCTCCGAGCCTCAGTTTCCTGGGGAATAGACTAGTCAGTCGCTAAGGTGCCTCCGCTCTGATCCTAAATCCTAATTAATCAGAGGTCCTGGGTTTGAATTTTACTTCTGCTATTTGACCTTCCTGAGCCTCAGCTTTCTCATCCATCAAATGGGGCTTATAAAGACCGGCCCAACCATCCCGGGCGTGGGACATTTGCTGTGGGAGGTGCTTGGGCCAGACCTCTGATTCCACTGGCCCTTCCCCGTCACAGCTCACGGTCAGGAGAGTCACCTGGGGCACAGAGGAGCTGGCCAACCAGCGGAGGAGGCCCTCGCACCCAGGCCCTTTAACAAAGAGCCCCACCAATGCCCAGCTCTTCTCGGTCAGGTGGCTCCATGTCTGTAGCCATGAGCATCATCGGTTACTCTGCTGGGTAGTAAGAAAGTCGGTGCCTGCACACAGAAGGCACTTCATAAATGCTCGCTGCCTGGATGGCCCCAGGGGCCGAATGGTGCTGAAGGTTCTGGAGTTCTTGTGTGTGTGCCATGTTAGGTTTTCTGTGTCCCTGCTAGTGACAAACATTCACTTTACGAACTGGTAGCCTGAGCAGCCCATGTCTCGATTTCTGACTGACTGGGAGCTCACTCACAGAGATTCTGCCCTGGTAAAACAATGAGGACCTTCGAGGCCTGTCTAGCTCTGAATCTCGGACCCTGAAATCAGCCTGGTAGAGCTGTGGGTGGAGCATGGGCGAGGGGCCTGAGAGTCCAGTGTGAACTGGCCCATTCTGCCATCCCCACTCCTGACCAGGCTCTCCAGAGGGAAGGTCCCCGGAGCCTGGACCCACCTAGATGGGATGTGGCCTAGATGGCATCTAGAAGAACTGTTCTTTGCCTAGCTGAGCCCTTGCTTGACTCAAGACAAGTCTAGCCGTGGACTTCACTGTTTACTAAGCCAGGATCAGAGTCCCCAAGGCCCCAGGGATTCTGGGGAAGCCTGAGTCTCAGGCTCGGCAGGAAGTTCCCGGTGTGGAACACGCTCTTCCTCTGTTTGGGGGGCGGCCCCTCCCGGCTTTGCCTGTGGCAGGCTCACCCTGGCACCAGCCTCTCTTCCCCCAAGGTAAAGTTCCTTCTGCTGCCTCCATCTTGGGAAGGGGCCCAGGCCCGCTCAGCTCCACTCTTCTCCTGGCTCTGCTCCCGACTCTCCTGCCTTCCATCTAGCCCTCTGCCCAGGCACCTGCCACATCCCCATCCCCATCCCTTTTGGGCATCCTCTTCTACCTTGAGGACAGAGGCAGATTTGCTTTTGTTTGTAATTACATGCCCAGGGCTCAGCACAGGCTGGCACACAGTAAGTGCCTAATAAATAAATGCTTCTTTCCTTGCCATCTCTTGGAATTGGGAAGAGGCCCGAGAGGTCATCTAACCCAGCCCCCTCATTTTACAGATCAGGAGACTGAGGTCCAGAGAGGTGACTTGCCCAAGGTCACGAAGGTAGTGTCAGAGCTGAGATTCGAAGCCAGGCCCTCTGACTCTAGCCCCAGGGCTCTTTCCCCTGCATCATGCTGCCTCCCACCTGAAGCATCCCATGAAAGGGGAGGCTGCCCAACATTTGCTTGAAGACCTCTAATGATGGGGAGCTCACCACCTCCCAAGAGACCCTGTTCCACTTTGGGACAGATGTAATGGCTACAAAACATCTGACATCCAGCCTGATTGGCTTCTGGGCCCCTGCCCCAACTGCTCCAGTCCTGTCCCCCCCAGGCAGAAGGAGGGTGCCCTGCCCATTCTCAAAGGGGCCTGCCTGCTCAGGCCAAAGCTCTCGTGCTCACATAAAAACCTTCCTCCTCCTCACTTCCAGCCACTTTGTAAGCAGCTCATTTCTCTTCCTCTGCAATGCTCCCAGCCTGCCTTGGGGCCACCTCAAAGCATCTGTGTACAATGACAGCCTGTTCCTGTCCATGAGAACAGAACCTG